GGTTTTTGGAGGGGCCTGTTTGCCCGCCTCCTACCTTCTGACTATGGCCCCAGGGACCCTGCCAGACCAGTTGGAACTAGCTGATTTGTCCCTCCTCGGTCAAAATGGACAACTAACTTTTTAACCACTGAAGGGAATTGTCTGAATTTTGGATATGTTTATATTTGAAGTGTGCTGATTCATAATATGTTTTATGGAGATTGGATGTATATTTTAGAAGTTATAAGAATTGTGTAAAAACTGTATTTTCCTGCCTGCGGTAATTACATTAACCCATTGTGTACAGTAATTATATCACAGGCAGAAGGGGGAGCTTGTTTGTCCTGACTGGGAGTGTTTAACTGTATTATAGTGTATTTGATTGGCTGTGCTACAAAACCATGTGGGTGGCAACATTGTGTAAAAATGTGTATATAAGAAACAATAAAACCACAGCTCTGTCTGATCCTGCTTACACTCCAAAACTGTGTGTCGTCCTGTTATTGGAGGGAAGATTTGCTCCTGTGACTGCTGCTCCAGCTTACAGGAGATTCACCAGGGAAAGTCCTTGTAAGGACTAGAGGTAATTCCCAATTTGGTTCCAGAGTCCCCAGGACTGAGTGACGTCCAGTGCCTGGAGGTGTCTGCTGGAGTGCTTGGAGCCCTAAGGAAGCGCTAGGAGCATCCTTCAACAGTGGTATCCAGTCGGGGTGCCAGGTGATCCGTTACACATACTAAATGTGATCTATAAGAATTTTTATTCATGCCTAAAATAATTCCACATCTTGCTTATATAAAATAACAGAAAAAAAAATAGTGCTAAAATGTAACCCTTGTATATGACAGAATTGCATTCTGTAGAATATGTATGTGTAATTAGAGATATCAAGCACAAGACTTTGATATAAAGTGTTTATAATTAAAATATTTCCAAAATATTGCCAATTTTTAGTTGGTTTTAGAATAATTCATCTTAGGCACTTAGTGATATGATCAACTGTTCAATCAACTATTTGGTACGTCCTAGTGAACTTACTGCATGAATTACGACTGCTGATGTTCTAGTCTAAAATACAATATGTCACATTTAAGGGCTTGGGTGCCACCTTGTGGTATACTTTTATGATACTGACTGATGCTGTCAAAAAGATACAGTACATTGGCATTGCACATTTTACAAGAAGAAAATATTGTGCTAGTAAAACATATATCAAATTCTATGAACTTGTGAAAACCTCATTGATTTGAAACCATAAAGTACATGTCTGACCTCAGTAAAATGATATTACAATAGTAAAGCCTTTGTAAACCAGACATTAGTCAGGGCTGTCTTAATGCATTGGCACGCTGGGCAGTTACCCAGGCCTCACAAACATACGGACCACATAGGTCTGCCAACCTTTTAGTATATTATTCCGGGAGATTTATGTTTACTGTTTTTGGTAAAGGTACCAATAAATATCAGCTTAATTTTATCAACAATTTAAATTTTCCTTCCAGCCCAGTCACTAGTTCATAATTACAGTAGGCAGCTGCAGGCTGCTCGCTGTTTAGTTGATGTGCCCTCACTGTTTCGCAGTCATGTTGTCATGGTTTAGGTGACATGCCTACAAAACATAGTTCAGTTGTCATGGTTTTATGCATAAAAACTTATTTATTAACAGCTTTGTGCTGTCAAATTTGACAATCCCATTACCAGGGTCGGTAATTGCTTGATATTGAATCACCAAATTCAATATTTTCAATATACAAGTTGTTTTGAAAATGTTCAGAATGTTCTGAAACCAAAATCTATCAGCTCCGGATAGGCCTTACATTGCTTATATTAAATTGCTTCAAACCATTAAAAGCTTAACGGGAGTCAATATGCCACCGCCATCACGAAGCGCCTGATATTAAATCAACTCCTAGAGTAATTTAAAAAAAACAAACAAACCGTAGCGAAACAGAACATTTTTCTGATGGACAAAATCTCTGGAAAATAAAAAAATAAAATCTGTTGTGCGAATGAAAAATGGTGTATATTCAAAAATTATGATTAGGGTCCAAAAGGAAAAACTAATCTAGGGTCCCACTGGGCTCCAATGCTCCCCAATGCTTTTGTGATATGCCCACAGCTTCTGCAAAGCTGCAATGCTATGGCTATCACCATTCAGTAACTGAGAGCATCAGCTGGCCGCTCTCAGCCAATGACTGACACTGTGTGCAATGAAAAATGAAAGTTGCACAGAATCGCTATTAGCCATCCCAGAACTCTACTTCCAGGCAGGGTTATGACGTGCCCCAATGATGTTGACAGAGCTGGAGTTACGGTTTAAACTCAGTGTTTAGTTGGACATACAACTCCAGGCACCATCACCACGTCAAATCACTAAAGTGTTGATGGTACTTGGGGTAACCATTTGAACTGGCAGATAATGATGATGCAGTCTAACTGTCACTTTTCAGAACACTTTGATGAATATCCCCTTCCCTGTAGCAAACACTTATTTTATAAACTTTCTTTCTGTTTGTTAGCAATCTTCTTACTGTGTCTTCCAGCAACTTTCTGCTCAGAAAATATCCATGAAATGAGGAAACTAGAAAGTGTGATGAAGAATTTAACCTGAAGTCAGAACGAACAATAAAAAGTAAGCAAAATGTATTGCACTTTGAATATTTACTTGCTAAAATAATTTTTCATAGACGGTAATGTCGCCCTCCGTACGAAATCAGGGGAAAAAAAAAACATAAATCAAGGCTATTCAATTGCTGACCTCCACAGCTATTTTGGGAACACAATTCCCATAAATGTCAGCTTGTCTTAGCCTGTTTGATAGTGCTGGCAATAATAAACTGACAATATGTGAGAGCCTTTCTTTACTCAAACTGGGTAAAGATTCAGTAGGTGATGCGTTAGATGTAGCCAATGCTATAGATTTAGTTTGTAGCATCTTTCTTATGCTTTCCACTTGCACTAAGGGTGGACACTGATATAACCAATCAGTTCAATATCCCTAGGAATGCTGGTAAAGTGCATCAGGCATACGTGACAGATTTATATATGTGCAGTTGGAAGTTTTCTCCACTTTGCAACATTCTTACAGGATAAGAAGAGAGGGAGTCGGATCATTGTGTCGGCTTCTGCACAATCATGCCATGTTTCTGTCATTAGTGGGCTGTTCTGAAACTGAGATGGGTGAGTAAGACGGGAGAGGGAGACTGAAGAAACTCCCATAGCTGAGAGGCCTGCTCAACTATGCAATCTGACCAAGTTTATAGTAAGTTTATAAACATTTATTGCATACTTTTTTCTAAAAGTTTTTCTTGATTTAATTTGATTTGTATATTTGTTTAACATTGTTTGCTTGCTGGTTTAAAAAAAAAAAAATTGTCAAGTGATGTATGTCCCTTTAAGCAAAGTCTTGTTCAAATTCGTACAGTTGGTTTGAATATCATTCAGCTCAGGTAAGCGAGTAACTCATGTTTGTTTAGTCTGCTGTCTGTGAATCTATTACGAGGAGGTGGGGACTTTGATGTACTTTGATAAAGCTCTGTGCTCATCGTTAATGACAGATCTGAATTTTAAAAAAAACAGGCTCAAGTCTCAAGTGATAAATTCAGTAAAGAGAAATAGAATAAAAATGAAAATAATTCATGACAAAAAATGTTTCAATACATAAGTACAGTATAGCTATAAATCTAGAGATTATAAAATGAAGTTGGGTTCTTGTAATATTTATTTTGGTAAAGTAACCTGATCTTTAATTTTAAAGCGTTTCAGCTTGGTAGTGTAGGTAACAGGAACACATGCATAGGCCTTCATTAATGACTCTGTCTTGGATAGGAGTCACTAAACAAATGAAATTTTAAGCTATGCCCATTGATACCAGTGTTTTCATTCTATTACATGCCCTCCCTCAATGCACTTGCACCCCCTAAAAGATAGTAGTAGAAGCATGCAGGTTCTCTGCATGTGTTTTCAGTGTTGCTGGTGGTTTGTTATTTGTTTTCAGAACTTTGCATACTTTCCCGTTAGAAGAAATCATATTTGTATTTTCTATGTTGTTCTGTATGGTTTAAGAGGTGTTACTGAAGGAATACTATATGGCATTGGTTTCCCAAACCAGTCCTCAAGATCCAACAACAGTACAGGTTTTGGCAGTATCTCCATTGGAGTAAAAAAGGAAAAATGCATCGATCCTGGATTGTTGGTGGGCCATGAGGACTGGATTAGGGAATACAAACATATATTAATGTAATAGTGTTAGCCTACCTATTTAGATGCCCTACAAATAAGTAAAAAAAAAAAAAAAACAGTTTTACTCACCTTTCCTTCCTTGACACGCAGGTCCAATCACAGCTGTCCTACCTCCAAGGCTAAGGTCATGCATCTTGATGATCTCAGCCAATCAAATACGGAACCATTGGGTAAACTGATTTATACATTTGGGCACAGATTAAAAGGCATTTAATTAGTTTGTACAAGCTGAACACATTTGTGCACAGAAGTCTAGTATGTTCCTCATTTTTTTTTTTTTTTTTTTAAATAGTAGTGTTTACACTTGGTGTAGAAAGTCATTTTCTGTGAGAGTACAGTCTAATACAGGGGTAGACAAGCTTCGGCATGCCAGATGTTGTGGACTACATCTTCCCTAATGCTTTATCAGCATTATGGCTGTAAGAGGATTATGGGAGATGTAGTTCACATCTGGAGGGCCAAAGGCTGTCTACCCCTGCCAATGCAATCTCCTGCTTATGCCAATGATATCCTTGTTGATGTCAACTACAATTTAAGAGAACCATATGCAACAACTATTTATATTGTTTTATGTTTAAATTTATATTTTTTTATTATTACTACTTGTGTCTCTAAAGTATTCTGTAAAGTACAAATGTGCAGCAGGTTTGACAATGTACATTGTAAAGTAACCATAATGCTCCTGCTGTTTTGGAACTTTTTCCTAAATCCTACCTGAACCTGACTTGAAATCTCTGTGCGTTTTCAGCAAATGATCTTCCATTTTTCGCAATGTGCTAATCACCAACACATGTCCACACTTCTGAATCCCAGATGTTTCCAGTATTCAGCCCTTGCATACAAAAAAGAAAAAGACTAAAAAACAAGGGTGAACATTGTCCTCACTGTCAACACGTCAAGAGCAGGCCTGTCAAGCTTCACGAACATAGAGCGATTCTGAATCAGCGGCTGTCTGCAAGTTTAGCCCATAACTGCAGCGGCATCAGCATTTTCAATGGAGACCTAGGCAACATTAAGATTAGTTCATTGTGAAATTTTGGCAAGACAGAAAGTGGGCAGACAATGGGCCCTTGTTGACCTCTTTAAGTCAATGGATCTACATAATCAATGTAAGGAAGGTATGAATAATACACCCTTCTAACGGAATGTCAACTGTATAAACAAACATTGCGTTATCACCGAGCCATTCACAATGGTCTGTTAGATTCAAATTTTCCTCTTGGTTTATGATATCTTTAAAATATTTAGTTAAATGGGTTCCGTGACAAAGTAGGGAAATGGTCTTGAATTACTTCCTTAAATGTCTAATCTAACAGGATTTTCAAAGTGTTTAAAACTTAGTCACATGGTTACAGGAAACCCATCAATCACGAGTTAATTTATGTTTTAACCTAATGGGAGCTTTTGCCACAAGTGAAAAAAGTTACAGTGCATTTTAGCAAAGAATAAATGAGTCTTTAATTTAAGTATTTCTTTATGTTTCCAACTTATTTTTCTATTGTCTAAACACCTATAAAAATTAAATATAAAAAAAACACAAAACAAACAAACAAAAACCGTATATTCACCAAACTGTAATCAATTGAAACTTTAAAGGACCACTATAGTGCCGGGAAAACATACTCGTTTTCCTGGCACTATAGTGCCCTGAGGGTGCCCCCACCTTCAGGGTCCCCCTCCAGCCCGGCTCTGGAAGGGGGAAAGGGGTAAAAACTTACCTTTTTCCAGCGCTGAGCAGGCAGCTCTCCTCCTCCTCTCCGCTTCCTCTCCTCCCCGTCGGCTGAATGCGCACGCGCGGCAAGAGCTGCACGCGCATTCAGCCGGTCACATAGGAAAGCATTATCAATGCTTTCCTATGGACGCTGGCGTGCTCTCACTGTGAAAATCACAGTGAGAAGCACGCAAGCGCCTCTAGTGGCTGTCAATGAGACAGCCACTAGAGGAAATAGGGGAAGGCTTAACCCATTCATAAACATAGCAGTTTCTCTGAAACTGCTATGTTTATGAAAAAATGGGTTAACCCTAGCTGGACCTGGCACCCAGACCACTTCATTAAGCTGAAGTGGTCTGGGTGCCTAGAGTGGTCCTTTAACTGTGAGAGAAAGGAAAAAGATACAACAGATTTTCTTTAATATAGATGGAATTACTGAATACTGCTACAGTCAGAAATTGGTTGTTTTAGTCCAAATTTTGATACCCTCAAAATAAACGTGTCCCTCTTTGTCCATTTGAAATTTTGAGAAGTATGATTATATACTTGCAGGGAAAACACAAAGCACTTTGACTGGTAAAGATATCCTTAAATATATGCACTTAGATATTTTGAATTTATTTTTCCCAGAGTTCAAGGGAAATGGAACTAAGAAGAAATAGCACAGGTATCAGTTTAATTTAACTGTGGTAGGAATCTATCAGCAGGTATTTTCTCATTCACAGTGCCTCCTTATAAATGACAAAGTTAAAACTTTTGTCTAGCCTGTGGAGATAATACAGAACCATCTGTGATCCTCGGTTACCCTGTAGGTATAATAAAAATGTAATTGTTTTTGCACAGGTCTCTCCACTGGGAAGAGATTGTTTTTAAACTGCTGCATAGGCTCCAAAAAAGACATAAAACAGGGGTGTCCAAACATTTTTAGGTGAAGACCTGGTTAACAAATAAAATGGTAGTCTGTCACGTGCCGTACAATGGCCTCGAGCAGCAAGCAGAAGATGGCAGTATTAGAGAATCATCTGTTTTTGTCACCGGTGTATTGTTTTACTCACATATATTTTTAAAGGGCAAAATTACTTTATATTGATTTTAGAAGATTTTGTTATAGCTTTTTCTACTATTTCTGTGTTAATCCAACTGTCAGACGTGTTTGCGTGTTTTCTGTTTTAGCATTCCAAAGACAGATACAAATAAAACTCAAACAATCTGAGATGTGGCTGTATTTTCAGTGTTTAAAGGCTTATTCCAACCCTTATTAACTTTTCTTTATTTTAAATTGCCCTACTGGGCACTAGAAACTTTTGATTGAAATCTTCATGAAAATAGATTTTTACGTATATGGAATCTAAGGCGGGGTGAGGTTTTCCTCGCTGGTCTTCACACACCATCCATCATTGCTCCTTCCATCTCCAAAGTCCAATCAAATGCTACTCATAGAAAAGACTTTGACTGAACTTACATTTCCAGCTTAGAATGCATGTAGAATTTGATTATGTCTGTCACAAGCAAGCGTTGCTTGCTAATGATAGATGAAAGTTTTGCACAGAATTAACATTAGGCTGTCTGAAACAGAGTTCCGGGTCATGTGTGCTGGGATTGTAACTAGTCCCCAACACAAAAGTGCCGATATCTCTATATGTACAGCAGATTCCTTACTTTATGACCACTTCTATAAGCAGAAGTGGACATGAAGGTTGGCGTAACCAGGTTGGAGTTGGAGAAGGTTGGAGTAAAGTTAGGAAAGTTTTAAAATGTACATATGCATGGTGATTGGTTGACTGACTGTATGTGACCTAAACAATAAAGACTCTAAACATTTTCATCTGAGGACAGATTCACTAAAGGAAGGAGAGAATACAGGTCCAAGATATAGCACGATGGCACAATATGTAGAATGTTGAAGATAGTTTGGGCACTACTGACGTAGAAGCCATGTTCTTTACCTTATTAAACCTTTACTGGTATTTTCCTACGGGGTGGATGCAATTTATATTCATAAATTGCTTCATGTTCCTTCAATTAGCTAGTTAAAATGACAGGAAAGATAATGTTGAAATTATGATAAATGAGTAGTTAAGCTCGAAGGCAAATGAAGGGTACGTGGCAAACCCTGTGAAATCGTACTCTCCAAAAATTCAGAGATAGACCAGGGATATCATTTTAGGGAATGACATGCATTTAGATTATGTAATGATCCCTCTATTTACTAACATTGTAATCATACAAATAAATGTTTTGTTTTTTTTAATCTAAATCACACCAGTCGTACCAAAAAAAATAAAATAAAAATCGAAAGATATTCTTATGTCGTGAAGTACAATGGCAAAATAAATAATGCTTTAAATATTTAACACAGGGCTGGAAGCTGAAGGAAAATAAATGTATTGAAAAACAGCCTAGTGAATTTTGATCCATGGCTATTACTTAGTACTAATCATATAATTTATCATCGTGATTTTTTTATTGATGAGATATATAGTTAAGTTGTAGGGTGACTGCACCGGTGATGTGAAGACTGTGCTGCAGTTATTATTCGGTGTGCTATAAAAATATCTTGTTGGAGAAAAAGGCTCTGATTAATTTATTAAATTTCACAGAATATTGAAGAGGGGCCTATGAATCTGCCAGGAATGTTTCATTCTGCTCGTTTCTGAAAAAAGTGAGAACTGAAATCTTTCTGTTCTGCATGTAGAACTCAGTGACCCCTAAACGTGAGGTTAAACGGTAAGGTAAGAAGAACTGCAAACTCTTGTTGGGATTGTGCTTCAGGAAAAAGGGGAACAAACAGAGTGGTCAAATGTTTATGTCAGAGATAGTTTTGTATTGTTAAATCTAACATGTTATGACTACTGCTAGTAATCTTGTGTGTTATTGTGACAGAATTGTGTAGAGGGATCCTCAATCATGGCGTGTGAGTATATGTACCCGGTGTGTAAAGTCTTAGATGTTCAGTTTGTCAGAGCATCTAAATTAAGAGGTATTATTGTGTGGAGTGTCAGTATTTAGAGGCACATGTCAAACCATGCTACAAAAAAAAAATTAAAAAAAAAAATCGGATTTATTACATAGAAACATAGAATGTGACGGTAGATAAGAACCATTCGGCCCATCTAGTCTGCCCAATTTTCTAAATACTTTCATTAGTCCCTGGCCTTATCTTATAGTTAGGATAGCCTTATGCCTATCCCACGCATGCTTAAACTCCTTTACTGTGTTAACCTCTATCACTTCAGCTGGAAGGCTATTCCATGCATCAACTACCCTCTCATCTGGCTGGCTACTTCCTGATTGATTAATGAGTAGACTCATTATGATGATATCAGCTGATATACATATCACAGTTGTTTTGGTGTTCAGGGTGTCCCCTTTAACAATTTGTCCTGTATAGTTAGGTCAGTTGCAATCTGGGTTTGCAGAAAGAAACTAAAATACTTTTTGCTTTTAACACTCTCTAATAAGATATTGCAGAGATTTTTGGTACCTAGGTACAAAAAACTCCTTATATAGTCTTTGGGCCTGAAGTGTTGTGTCAGTTTAACCAATCTTCCCCTATTTCCTCTAGATACTAAGTGGATTCTTAAAAGTAAAGCGCATTCCCTTCATTATTGAGCCCAAATCCTGAGATTAAAATTTTAATATCTCAAATTCCACTTTCCTTTTCATGTAACATATAAACACTTAGTGTATCCAGTTAGTGACTTGTTATATTCTCCAACACAGTAATCCCGCATGTTAATAAAAAGAGATTATAATTCTATACAATGACGATTATTTGAATAGCATCAACATATTGGGCAGTACTGACGTCCATCATACTATAAGGACTACAGCTGATACGAGAATACGCGTTTACAAACTTCAAAATCGCAGATAATTAAGAAGTGAGACTGTAGGAGCGTGATCTATACACCAAAAACCACTCCATTAAGCTAAAGTTGTTTTGGTGAATATAGTGTCGCTAGTTAAAAAAATAGATTATTAAAAGTTAGGAATTATTTATACGGGAGTACATAGAAAAGTCAAAATATGGGACACAAAATCTTTTGTTTTAAAATGTAGTAATCCGGGAATGAATATAACCAGATTTTCAGTGCTCAGTAAAAAAAAACAAAAAAACGGAAATAAGTGTTTATACAGCGTCAAGTGGATGAACTAACACTTCAACACAATGCTTATTTACAATGATAATTACAGTCAACAATCTATTCCAGCTTCTAGACTCACTCACCTTCACTCGCTGTGACCTCCTACATGGCAACAGCACTTAATATAATAACATAACATTACAGACTACCAC